CCCCCCCCCCCTCCCCCTCTTCACAATTTGGATTTACTCTAGACTGTTTGAGAAGTTCACTTTGATAATTCCTCCAACGGGTAATCTTATAGACATGAAGAGTACAGGCTTTTAGAAAGTGGTTTTGAAATAAGTCACTGCATCTCCGTGAAAGGCATTGGAAACATCCTGATTATTTTATTCTAAGCTATTGGAAATGCATTAATAGAGATATGGTGATAATATTTGCATTAATTCGAAAATGGAGATGTACACTACAGTATTTTCTGCAAGTGTACTACTACGTTAAAACTAAGTCCATTAGGACACCCTAAAAGCTCTTGATGTAAGCATGGAAGCAAAAATCAAACAGCAAACACAAAATAGAGAGAAACAAAAATTTGAGAAAGAAAGGCTAGAATCAATTAGAAGATGCACTTAATCCACCTAAGAAAGAACACTTGGACATATTAATTAGCAAACAACTAATGGAAATCAAACCAAGGATGGGGAAGAGATACAGGAGTTTTCCCTCAAAATTCACAAGGAGTAACCTTCACCAATATCCAAAAACTATCTTGGAAAATGAAAGCCTGATGAACAATTTATTCTTAGGAATAACTAAAATATCCCCTTAACTAGGCCTTAAATAAGCTAGGACCAAAATTAGTCTTCTTTTTGGTTTCTTCTTGCTCTGAGCCTTGACTTTCTTCCTTCAAATATCCATTTGAGCATATTTGTAAATCTTATGGTCTTCCTTCCAAGCTCTTTTGAAACACTCCAAACTCTTGATAAGATGGAAGCCTCCACTCTCATGAGTGCCACTTGTGCGTACATCAATCCTTTTGAGTCTGAGCAAATGAATCTTCAGGAATTAAAATCATTTTTTAGAAAGCATTCTTATCTGAATGAACTCTAGCAATGCAGCTGTTCATCTATATATGTTTCCTAGATTTTCATTTCTTTTTCTCTGTCAATGTACAAGTTATAACAGGTAGTATTGTGTGTATTCAACAGTGAGCACTGTAAGAGCACTTGCTGCATTGGTATATCCACAAATAGGATCTTGTTGCAGTTAGTAATGAGTATTTTGGACTCAAATTTTCTTTTTCTTCTTATTTTCATTACATTTTGCAGGTTCTTTTTCATTCATTTTAGTTTATACCTTAAGATAGCAAATCTTTTCGCTAGTTTTGCGGGATCTATATACTTTCCTTTTAATTTTTTGGATACCTTTTACATTTATGCTTCATTTGATTCTCCTCTGCGACAGACTTTAACTATGAGCTTTTGAATTCTTCTAGTATGTGATCAGAAGTTCTTTTCTGAATTGAAGAAGGAGGCTTCTGATATTGCTGGTTGCTTCAGTTCTAGAGTGAGAAGACTTCTCCAACTTCATACTGCTCCCGGTATGCAAAAGTACCTGGTAATCTTGCGTCAATGTTTCAAGAATGATCAGCAGGCCATGATGCAAGAGTGCCAAATATTAATTGAATATGCAATGATGAATGCTATTGCTATGCAAAAGATCCTTAAGAAATATGATAAAGTAAGTGACAGTTTCATATGTGTCATGTTTTTCTTGAGCAGCAGTTTGATGTGAAACCTTTTTTCACTTTATTCTTTTCTTTTTAAACGGGCACATCTCTATGCAGGTTCATTGCTCGGTGAATGGAAGGAACTTTAAATCGAAGATGCGTGCTGAACGCCTAGAGATTCTACAATCACCATGGTTGATTGAACTAGGGGCTTTATATTTGAATTTCAATGAATCAAATGGTGGGAAGTCTAATGAGCTTTTCAGTCAATTTTCTTGCAATCTCAGTGATACAGAGCCTATTATGACTTTGATGTTTCCAGATTCTGTAAAACTAGAGTACAATCTGACTTGTCCAATCTGCTTGGTAAGCAATTCACTTGATAAAACCAAGATTTTTGTATCCTTTCCTTGGCATGATATCACTCACTTGTTCATGAATTCTAGGATATGGTCTTCAATCCATATGCTTTAGGCTGTGGGCATCTTTTCTGCAAATCTTGTGCTTGCTCTGCAGCTTCTGTGATGATTTTCCAAGGAATTAAGGCTGCAAGTAAGGAGTCAAAATGTCCAGTTTGCAGAGAGGTAACCTTTTCTTTGCACTATTATACAATCTTGTTTCTCAGTAGTTTTTCCTGTCACTTTGAGAGCATATATTGCACAGTAGCATCATTACTTAATTGTAGAATGCAACACTAACTATGCATGAATATATATATATATATATATGGCATCTTTTGTAACAAACTCCGGAATCTAGCAAATACAAAAAGAGAAAAACATGAACCAAGATACAATTTGGCGAATGCAAAATACCACTTGGAATTTCTGGTTTAGCCCACTTAAGGTTCTGGTATTCTTCATAGTGAAGCTCAATTTGATTTTTGAAAATCAGCTTTCAGTTAACCTCCCTGTGTGAATATCGAAAGATATGCTGAAGTAGAATTTCTCTTTGATATTTTCTATCTTGCTAAGTTGACTCTGAGGGCAAGCATGTCTTTCAGTTTGGAAAAGAGCCATGAGAATCTATTTGCAAAAACCTCTCAAGATGGTCTCAGTTTCGCATGCTAATTTAAAATGTAATTCCAGAAGAACGAGGTAGATATTCCTTTTACCACTCCACTGTACAATAACGTTTCCTCCTATTGAGAGATTATTCCAATCGTAACCACTTCCAGCGTATCCTCCTCCGTCCTTTGTCACCATGCTGCCGACCTCTCTGTCTAAAACCCAAAAACAAAAAATTAAGACTTTTCTGTGGTAGAACATTTTCAATGGAAAATGGAATCACACCTTACCAAAAATAAAAGTACTTTTATGTTGTCTACTAGAAGTGGAGAAATATGAAGCGATGTCAAAAAGGTTTATTCAAGAGCCATCTTATACCAATATAGTAGAAAGAAATAATTGCTTAAACAGTACAAAGGAGTGTAGCTCTTCTGAGACATTAAAGAAATCATTCCACGTTGAACACTAAAGAACAATTTAAATGGGAAATGAGAGGTGCACTCAGAGCTAGAGCAGAATAGTAAGTGGCTATCGGCTCCTGAGGAATGAATTAATCAGCATGTCCTCCTATTTTACTGTTGCAGGTTGGAACTTATGCTAATGCTGTGCATATGATGGAATTAGATTTGCTTCTGAAGAAAAGGTCAGTAACATAGAATAATGGAGTACATATTTTTTCCTTATCAACAGGGATGGTTCATTTTCTTATTTCTATTCATACTCAACTTTTACAAAAGGGGTTAGTCTTTAAATTCTTAGCTTATAATGTGTGACGATTGTTTGAATTTTCAGATATAAGCAGTATTGGAAGGAAAGACATGCTTCTGAACGAGCTGAATCAGTGAAGCAATCGAGGCAGTACTGGGATCTCCAAACGAGATATGTTATTGGTTATTAGATACTGTGTTCATTAATCTGATATCAGCTTTTGGCCGATTCATCTATCTTAACATAACAGCATATGAGCGCGATGGAGCAGTCTGGAGGATCTATTTTCTCTGAGCTCCAACTTTTTGAGGAAACAAAATCACTTCATCTGGACATTAGCAAATCACCATCTGGTCTTTTTGGTTCATTTAGATGAATATTTCTTGACACTGTTAGGTTTCTGATTCCTAGATTATTGGAGTTTGCCAAAGTGCCTCGAATTCAGCATTGTAATTAAATGTTTTCCATGCCCTTTATTTGAAAATTTTCTGAGACATCATCACAATCAGGAAAGCGGCAATTTTGAGTTGTATTTCAGATGTAACGTCAATCAGGGCCTTAATGGAATTTATCCTTAATTAAAATTCGTTTTTTCTGTCTCTTGTATGTTTTCTTCTTTCCTTCATGCTATATAAAGTTTTCTCACTTGTCACAAACTTGAAATTTTGGTCGCGATTTACTGCCTTTAAACTTGCTGCTTGCGCTAAGTTTCACTCTGTAAAATCATATGTATGACTTCAATTCTTTCCCCTTCTCTTTTTACTGAGACATAACTCCCAAAGGTTTTGCTAATTTCTCTGATCAAGCGTGCAGCAGTTCACACGTAAGATCATCGGCAGTGAGACTACTTACTAGTAGTCAGTAGACTACAAGTAAGTAGTCTATGATCTTTTATTTACACGTAAGATCATCGGCAAGTGTTGCAATTTCAGGTTTTCGAAATCTATGATCTTTTATTTACATATGACAACTCAGAGTTGCGGCAATTGGAGATTTTTTTTTATTTGAGTTTCATTTCCTTCACGAAAGATAAGAGTAAAACTTCCTTATAACTAATATGACAAATTTTAAACGAAAATCAAAATAATGGGTTATCAGAGCACCCAATGTTACTCTTCTCAACACAACTTTTCCTACACCCCCATATGAAGTTGGAGGATCTATGAGGTTTAAACGCAACCAATCAGATGGCGACGCGATCAAGTTTCGCTAGCTGTCTTACCGGGCATGACATCCAATGCGGGGCGACCCATTTCGCATGTGGGGCGGCGGAATTTCCTAAGTTGGATATGGTATAAAAGGTAGAATAGCTCTTTCTCTTGCATTTTTTTTAGGAAGTATCACCCACTCTAAATTCACTCAAACACTCTCAAACCCCTATTAGAATTCCCAAACGGTCTAAGGCGAAATTGAAGGTGAATCTAGCAGATTGAGCGTGAGGAAGCTTTAATCATCACTATAATATTCATTGCCTTGTTGTGTTGATTCTGGAGATTCGTTGGAGGCGGAGTTAACCACCATAGGAGTGTAGCTAGTTCTTCAACAAGGTATGTAGGTCAGCTTTCTTCTTGGCATGACTTGGTATGAGCGTATCTCCCTCCTTCAAGGATTTCTGTGTTATGAGATTGATTCATTCTAAGGTCTTCTCTTTCTCAATAGTGTTATTTCTATTCTAGGTAGAGGGGCGACTCCGAGGCTTGCGGATGCCGGCAGGTATACCTTGAAGTCTCCGAAGCTGAGTTCTCGCTAGTGCCTAGACTGGTAGGAGGTGCCTGGATCTGCACTAAAAGATGTGCAGAAGCGTAGCATGAGTACACCACAATGGTACCCAATAAGTGCCAAGCCTAACCTCGGTAGAGTAGTGACGAGGTCAGGTCAAGGCCCTACTGGAATAAATAAGAAAAACTTTACAAGTGTATGACAGTGTAGTAATGATAGCAATGAAATTGAAACAACAAATAACATATCAAGGTTAGCTACACGGAACTAAAGCAAATAATGCAACGCAAAGAAAACAAGGAATGATATGCTAAGGAAACAAGACAACCAAACACAAGTGAAGCAATAGAGAAATACCAGCAAGAGTCACTACCGAAATACCGCCTCGTAGTCTCAAATCACAAGAATAATTCACAATCTTTCCTTATATCACCGCGGAAGCCTTGCATTTAGTTTTGAAAATCATTTTCCCGAAATAGCTTCCCGCATTTTAGCCCAGCTTATCACACCGTGTGGCTTCTAGCAGTTCCCCTACTAGCCACGCGTATCAAGCCTACCTTATCTCACCGCATGCGTTTCAACCCCAAACCATTATACCACCTCATGCGTATCAATATGACAATGTATCACAAATCGCACCTCAAGTGCCCAATATCACAACTTGCCAAAGAAAGCAACAATAACAGTGTTTTCACAATAAAGAGCCTATGGCTCAACCACAATGTACACAAGAGTATCAACAATAACAACCGGAAGTGAATAGCTCAATGAGAATAGTATTTCACAACTTAACATTATGCCTCAATGTGAATCACGACCCTTATAACTCAATACAAATTTCACAAAATGGCCACCGGCTTCTCAACATAACACAAATCTTTCTCCAATTGGATTGAGCTAAAGTCTAACACATGAGACGAATCACCGTGATACTTCCGGAGCATAGAAACATGGAATAATGGATGAACTACGGCTAGACTAGGTGGCAGTGCAAGCTTGTAGGCCACCTCTCCAATCTCCTCAAGAATCTCAAAAGGTCCGATATACCTAGGGCTCAACTTGCCCTTCGTCCAAAACCTCATATCAACTTTCATGGGCGAAACTCGGAGAAAAACCCGCTCCCTAAACATGAATGCAACGTCGCGAACCTTCCGATCCGCATTACTCTTCTGTCTAGATTGGGCTGTGCGAAGCCGATCTTGAATCAATTTAACCTTTTCCAAAGCATCTTGAACCAAGTCTGTACCCAATAGCCTAGCCTCACCCGCCTCGAACCAACCCACCGGAGACCGACACCGCCTCCCATACAAGGTCTCATACGGAGCCATCTGAATGCTCGACTGGTAGCTGTTGTTGTAGGCAAACTCCGCAAGCGGCAAGAACTGATCCCAAGAACCCCCAAACTCCATCACATATGCACGAAGCATATCCTCCAATATCATAATAGTGCGCTCGGACTGTCCGTCTGTCTGAGGGTGGAATGTTGTACTCAACTCAACCCGTGTGTCCAACTCTCGTTGTACGGCCTTCCAGAATCGCGATGTAAACTACATACCCCGATCAGAGATGATAGATACCGGCATGCCATGGAGTTGGACAATCTCGCGAATATAAACTTGAGCCAACTACTCTGAAGAATAAGTAGTCACCACTGGAATGAAATTATTCGACTTGGTCAACCTATCCATAATCACCCATACTGCATCGAACTTCTTCTGAGTCCGTGGGAGCCTAACAACAAAATCCATAGTAACCCGCTCCTATTTCCACTCTGGAATCTCTAGCCTCTGAAGCAATCCACCTGGCCGCTGATTTTCATACTTCACCTGCTGACAGTTTAGGCACCGAGCTACATACTCCACTATGTCTTTCTTCATCTGTCTCCACAAATAGTGCTGCCTCAAGTCCTGATATATCTTAGCAGCACCTGAATAAATGGAGTGCCGCGAACTGTGAGCCTCTTGAAGAATCAACTCATGCAACTCATCTACATTGGGCACACATAGTCGACCCTACATCCTTAACACACCGTCATCCCCAACAATGACCTCCTTGGCATCGCCGTCCTGAACCGTGTCCTTGAGGACAAGCAAATGGGGGTAATCATACTGACTCTCTATAATACGATCATATAGAGATGACCGAGAAACCCCACATGCCAAGACTCGGCTCGACTCCGAAACATCCAATCTAACAAACTGGTTGGCCAAGGCCTGAACATCCAATGTTAATGGACTCTTCGCTGCCGGTAGATATGTTAAACTACCCAAGCTCTCCACTTTTTGACTCAAGGCATCGGCCACCATATTGGACTTCCCGAGATGATACAGAATGGTGATATCATAGTCCTTAAGCAACCCTAACCATCTCCGCTGATGCAAGTTAAGATCCTTCTGTTTGAACATATATTGTAGACTCCAGTGGTTGGTATAAACCTTACAAGGGACACCGTACAAATAGTGCCGCCAAATCTTCAAGGCATGAACAATAGTTTGTAACTCAAGGTTTGTGGACAGGATAGTTCTTCTCATGCACCTTCAGTTGTCTAGATGCGTAGGCAATCACCCTACCGTCTTGCATCAACACCACGCCGAGACTAACACGCGAGGCATCACAATACACAGTGTAAGACCCCGATCCCGTAGTCAACACCAACACTGGGCTCTAGTCAAAGCAGTCTTGAGCTTTTGAAAGCCCTCCTCACACTCCTCGGTCCACCTGAATGGAGCACCCTTCTGGTTCAATCTAGTCATAGGTGCAGCAATAGATGAGAAACCCTCTACGAATCGACGGTAATACCCTGCCAAACCAAGAAAACTTCGGATTTTCAGTAGTTGAAGACGGCCTAGGCCAACCCTCCACTGCTTCAATCTTCTTCCGATCCACCTTGATCCCCTCACTCGATACTATACAACCAAAAAGCCACTGAATCAAGCCAGAATTAACACTTTGGAAATTTTGCATACAACTTCTTTTCTCTCAAGGTCTGGAGCACGATCCTCAGGTGTTGTTCATGATCCTCCCGGCTCCGGGAGTACACCAATTTGTCGTCAATAAACACAATGACGAAGAAGTCAAGATAGGGTTGTAATACACTGTTCATCAAGTGCATGAATGTTGTTGGGGCGTTGGTCATCCCAAATGACATCACAAGGAACTCGTAATGACCATACCGAGTCCTGAAGGCAGTCTTCAAAATATCCGACTCCCGAATCTTCAACTAATGATAGCATGACTGCAAATCAATCTTCGAGAACACTCTAGCACCCTGTAACTGATCAAATAGGTCATCAATGTGTGGTAATGGATATCTGTTCTTCACTGTAACCTTGTTCAACTGTCAATAATCAATACATATGCGCATAGAACTATCCTTCTTATTTACAAACAAGACTGGATCACCCCAAGGTGACACACTAAGTCGAATGAAACCCTTATCAAGTAACTCTTGCAACTGCTCCTTAAATGCCTTCAACTATGTTGGGGCCATACGATATGGTGGAATAGAAATGGGCTGAGTGCCCGGCAATAAATCAATACCAAAATCAATATCCTTATGAGGGCGGCATTCCCGAAATATCTTCCATAAATACATCTGGATAATTCCTCACTACCAAAATTGACTTAACGGTAGGAGTATCAATACTGACATCCCTCACAAAGGCTAGATACGCCTCACACCCCCTTCTCAACCATCCGATGTGCCTTAAGGAAAGACACCACCCTGCTAGGAACATAATCCAAAGTTCCCCTCCACTCCAACCGTGGCAAACCTGGCATCGCCAATGTTACCTTCTTGGTGTGACGATCTAGAATAGCATGATAGGGTGAGAACCAGTCCATGCCCAAACTAACATCAACATCTACTACAATGAGCAAT